ATCATTAAAATAAAAGCTTTTGACGTTTCGCGGAAAAACTTGGTTTAAGAAATTAATTACATAAAAGATGAAGAGAAGATATTCAGACTTTAAAACAAATTAGTCCATGAAGCCAAAAAATAAAGTAAATGGTGAAATGAATTTAAGATAGTTTTTTGGATAATAACTGAACCTACTAATTTTTAAATAAAATTAAGTATTTATAATAATCTGTTCCAAATAAGAATTAGTGTGTCATTGAAAATAATATGATAAGTGCCAACAATAAACATCGTTTAAAAACAATATTCCAGTAAAAGATAATATCAACGACCCAACGGATAAACATTTTGCGTAATACGTGAAATAAATATTAATAAACTTTTTACTTCACGTGTTGGAATATGCCAAAAGAAAAATTTATAGTAACTTTATTACTATCAGTTAACAATACTACTTAAAATGTATAGCACTTTTGAAAACATTTAAATCGATAATATTATAGAGTGTGTTTCTTATCAATACAATGTAGCAACGTCCCATCGAAATAAAAAATTAACCTATGGTTTTAAAGCAAGTCTGTTAAGTCTCAAAAACAGAACACTGTGCATATTGAAAATAATTTTAGGTGCGCTTAATGACTCACGGTGTCTATAAGTTTTGTCCATGGGACGCTCTACGTTTAGGAGTGTCAAATAAATTTTACAACTGAAAAATTTTAGTTTGACTTTTTTGTTTTTTCTTCTTCTTTTTTAATTCTTGAATACGTTTATTTATTTAATTTGGTCGAGAATTTTTATGTATTTTTTTGCGGTAGTAATAAAAAATTTACAACGATTTATATTTATTTCAATTTAAAACCGTCTGTTGGTTATATTTAACAAACAAGTTTGACCTAATTAATTTCTGTGTGTTTTAAACCAAAAATCAAGTAACAACTGGCCAAACATATCAGATGTTTTAATTACTCCTCACACCTCTTACTTTCTTAAATAAAAGCAAACCAATTTCTCAAATTGCCCCAATTCATCGAACAGTTGTCCAATCAGCACCCTAAATTCAATTTGTCCCAACCAATTAAAGCAATTTACGGCACTCTGGACGAACGTCGAAATCCCACTGGTAGAATTAAAAGAAAATTAATCTTAAATCGAAAGAAGCCGCCGCATTCCAATCCAAAAAACGGGGTATAAATTTCCCCCAATCCGACACATAGCACAAAGTGGAGAAAAGAAACAGGCACGAAAGAAGCGACCCAAATTGCCATAGAAATCGATTATTGACGACCAGGAAGAGGGATTTAAAGGAAAAATTGCTTTTTTTTATTGTGTCTGTCATTACGCCTTGTAGCTTGGAGTTTTTCTTCTTGAAATTTCAGATTTATTCCCATAAACAAAATTAGTAGCCTCGAGGGATGAACCGCGGTTTTTCCGTCAATATTCTCCCAAGTGGAATTAGCCAGAAATCCTCTAGACGGTGTTTGTATTAAATTGAAAATGTCCCCCGACGGCGGTTTTTTAGCTTTCTTGTTAAAGTTGAGATGCTTAAAAGCCGATGGAACGAAGAAAAGCGATAATGTGAGAACATTTTCGACGTGTCGACGGCACCCTACATCACTCCGAATAATAAACATAAACTTGGGATTCTTTGCCCATTCTCCGGTTTGTTGAAACCAAAATGAAGCAATAAATGTTGAATCCTACATAGGGAACTTCTGTTTTATTGGCAAATCTTTTCCAAAATGTACGTACCTGATCAACATATTAACTGAAGGCGCGGCTGTTGCCTCTCAAAATTCGGGCACTGTATGCATTTGTAGATTTAAATTTTAAAAATTGGTTGCCCTTGAAGTTTAATGTTACAAATACAGATTTTTAAGAATTACAAAATTTGATTTTCGTTTTGTGATACCCTCTATGAGGTAAAAACCAGCGGCATAAATAACACCCACAGACCAAAGAATGAATTTACGCTCCCAAGTACGGATCATATAAAATATGTTTAAAGTAGATATCCAGTCGGATAAATTGTCCTCTCAGCACAAATAACAAACTTAACTCAAGTGTTTATCTTTATACATCAAAAGAATATCACGTAAAAATTAGTTTGATTTGAATGAGTTTATCTCCTCAAAGCAGAGGACTTAAATTATTATTAATTAAACCACAATCGGACAAAATGTTCTAAATATTATAATTCTTATGTTATCATTGTTAAATAAAGACATTTTCGAGAAAAAAATCCTCATATCCCATGTTGGTAATACAATGTCATTTATCTTGCAAATGTTTCTGCAAAAATTTGAAAGTTTAGAGACAAAACTCAAAGTAGATTCGTACACCACAAGTATAGGAGTATATCGTTGTATCACATTTACATCATTGTAAAACAGAATTCATTGAAATGACGTTATCAAATTATTGGTGAAGTTCTACCATCTACATGATATTTCTAATATGCATAAAAAATTTTACAACAATCGACCCGGTAGTTTCGGAGATTACGTGTCTCATAAAAATGGATACACACGACAAATAGAGAGACATGCAGACAGACGGAAACGCGAGACCACATTTTTCATACTCTAGAGGGAATGACACGTCGAATAAACATGAAAGTGGCACTTCGCCCAATGAACTCAATTACTAAACGTTCTTAGCTTAAGCTCGGGAAGAAGATAAGTTTATACAGGGCTTTTATAAATGATTATAAGTGCGTAGTAGGCCATGGATTTCAAAAATACCGCTTCGCTAAAATTATGCCTCATAATGACAGTTCTCATTTGTCACATCAATGTCTAATATCACTTGTAACCTATCATTTAAAGTCGTCCTTTTTATTGTTTTAACGTTTTTCAAGTGTGAATTACAGTAGTTCTCGTTGATCCAAGCTCGAAACAATAAAATAGTCGTTTCCAAAACTAATGAATTCTTGGTGGTTACGTACGAAAATTTTGTTTTTGTGCTATAAAGCTAAGACTGTGAGAATGGTATATTCTGTTGAAGAAGACACTTTCATTTTTATGTCTTGTTATCGCAATGGGACTTCGTAAACGAAGAGCGAGTGTATTCTGTAACCGCTTGTAAGCAACAATATCTAGCTAAATACAGTGATTTAATAATCCAAAAAACATCGTTATAGACTCAGATTAGGGATGTAATTAACAGATTTCTTCGAATTAGCAGTGTCAACAAAGAAAAATTTCGTGGAAGACTTCAGTATCTCAGAAAGTTGTTCATAATTTGAGACGACTTGAGCAGAATTGAACAATTGAACAACGGGTCCAAAGTATTGACGAAAGGATGTTATAGAACATTTTTGAAATTAAAAAGAGAGTGAACACGTGCCTTGAACAAAATGATGAACATTTTCAACATTTACTATGATGTTTAACCTTAATAAATGTGTTTCTTTTTGTTGTAATGAATTAGTTTTATTTTTTAAAAAGATATGAAGCGTTTAGGCAACCAGTTATACAAATGCGTGTGGTTTTTGTCATGCGTCCTTAGGCACTTAGTACAGAGCTCCGTACAATTAAATCTGGGAGGCGGCACGTTTACATGACCTACTGCGACCCTATAATCATTTATAGAAACCCTGTATAAGGTTTTGTCGGCGATATTTGGGTTTTCCAAAAAATTAAAATTTTAAGGAGAACTGATGTGTAATATAAAAATCAACTGTAAAATTTGACAATCAAAACTTTGTTTCCACAGTGCCTAATCAAACAGTTGTTAGCAAAAAATTGTGTGTGAATATTTAACAATTAACCACTCATCTAATTTTTATTTTCTGTATAACTATTACATTTTAATAATATAATAATGGTATAGTGGAGGATTTAAGTTGATTACTACGAACATTTACCATTTTAGACATATTTTAAGTTTCTTGTTGCCGAAATAAGTCTACACATATTAAGAAAAAAAGGCAAAATGTAGGCCCGCCCACCCACCCTACCTCAATTGTGATTATTGTTTTTTATTCGTCGTGAGCCAAAGGGGCGGAGCTTAACTGCGAAATCATTATTTCTCTACGAAATATACTTAAAAACATGTTTGAATAAGTATTGTGTTGGTCAAAGAATACTATGTATATTAAGAAAAATAAAGCCAAAGATTAGGCCTCACCCATACCCGCCCCGATCTCAATTCCCAATTGTGATGAATTTTTCATTCGTTGTCAAATCGAGGGGCGGGGCTTAATTGCAATATCCATATTTGTCTAGAAGAAAAAAGGCAAAATATAAGTACCGCCCATCCGCTCTATCTCAATTGTGATGATTTTTTTTCGTCGTGAACCAAAGGAGAGGAATTCAATTGCAAAATCTTTATTATTTCTCCACAAGAAATGTAAGACATGTTAATTAAGAAAAAATTCAAGCCAAAGATTAAGCCCAACCCATACCTGCCCTGATCTAAATAGTAATGAAGTTTTCATCCGTTGGAAGACCGAGGGGCGGAGCCTAATTGCAAAATCCTTATATCCTTACAAAAATTTACCATTTTAAACCTGTTTTAAGTTTCCAAGAATAAAAAAATCATCACAATTGAGATGGGGTTGATGAGCCGGGTTTATATTTAACCTTTTTTCTTAATGTACATAAAATTCTTTGAACAACACGATACTCAGAAAGAAATAAGTATTTTGCAGTTAAGCTCCGCGGGTTCATAGACCACACGTGTAGGAGCATTTTATCAAATTTAAATACATTTACGATGTAAAATTTTGAAGTGAAGTCATCACATTATTCTCCAAGTGTAAAATTGGCGAAAGAGAAAAAAAACTGTTTAATTAGAAGTTTTCTACATACATGCAGGTTTTTTTATGTAAAAATGGTCCTATTTAAAAAGTCCCAACTCAGCCATATTTAAAGATGGAGGTCAAAGATTTAGCATAAGACTTTTTACTCTGTTGTTTGGGTCGGGACAATGGTGAGGGGGAGGGGGGAAGGGGTTGTAACGGCGACGTACAGAAATGTCGAATGTGGGGATTTTCTAAAATTTATTTATTTTTTTCAGGTACGGGGTGGCTTGTTGAATACACTTTTCCACGGTTTGGCGGTAAGTGTGGCATTGCATGAATAAAACCATCACGTGATACTTTAAAGGGGTGCTTGCTTAACTATACATTCAAAAATAAACTAATTAGCAACAACCCTACAAAACTAATAAAATTTAAGGGGAGCAACAAAGGTTCAAAATAAACATCTTTCACTTGTTCAACTTTCTAAAGTTTTTTCAGTACATTGCTTTTTATCCATATTTTCATCGTCGTATTGTTAAAAAGGTCTTTTCCAAACCAACGACATAATTTACGCGATGATACAAATAGTTAGGAAATAATATTAAGGATATTTCTAGCAGGATAAGGCTACAGCTCATAATATAAAACATATCCGGTGACTACTTAGATTGCTAGATTTAACCCCTCTAAACTATTTCTTTTTTGAGAATACCAAAGACACGGTTTTCAAACATAATGAAAAATTTGGATTACTTATCCTAATGCTCAAAATCAAAAATTGCTATGTTAATGTGGATTAAGAAATAGAACAGAAGTTTTTTTGTAGGAATACCTAACTGAATACCATTAAAACATGTGACGATATTCTTATTTATATAATTTTTAGATTATAATAAATTGTTTGGTAATAAGTAAGGAACGCATGTTAATAACACGAAGATCGCGGATTTGATCGATCCCGGGTTCAATTCCTCCATGAGCCATGTGTTTGGTACCCTTTTTTTTTAAACATGAGACCATTTTTCTTATTGATAATTGATATAGGTAATCGTTTTTTTTTGTTTTTTTTTGGCGAAATTTTCCAAAAGCTCAATTTTTCAGTAATCCTTTATTAAATTTTTTATTTTTTTAGACCATTTTTGAAAATTCGCGAAAGAGGTTTTTTGTCGATTTCGACATCCAGAAGCTATTTTTTGCTTCATATTTCAATGAAATATGGATAGCAATTTTTAGAACTTTAGAAAAATTTTATTTGAACCCTAATAATTAGAAAATCTTAATCTGAGACCATAAACACGGTATATTTTCCAAATTAGCCCATCGCGATCTATATATTGGATTTTTTTTTTGGATCTTTAGGCAACTTATCCAATTTTTCGATATTCCCTCTTTTGAAATTTTCGGCTCGTTTTTAACCATCTTTGAAAGTAACATAAAAAGAACAAATTCTCAATCCTTTTTCGACCTTTTTTTGTTCATTTCGACCTCTAAAATTTAATTTCGGTTTCATTTTTGCGAAAATTCGTATAATTTTTCCAAAATCTCCAAAGAAGTATGGCAGTTTTTTAGGATTTCTAAGAAATTTGTGTTTGATAGGTATCAAATATTTCAAAAATCACCACCTCTTTTTGTAGATTTAGTTTTCGGAAATTTATTTTCGCTTTGATTTCTTCGAAAACTCCTAGAATTTTTTCAAAATCGTCAAAGGAAACAATGATTTTATAAATTTCTAAAAAATTTGGTATTTGGAACCATGAATAAGTTATGTTTTAAGAATCAGCATGTCAAAATTTGCATCTTACAATTTTCTATGGATTTTTGAGTAACATTTCCAAATCCTCATTTTTTTTTTTTGAAATATTCGACCGTCGTTCGACCACTTTCTAAAATTTTTGAAATACATTTTTTTGTAGATTTCGACATTCAAAATATACTTTCGCCTTCATTTCTTTGAAAATTCCTAGCATCTTCCCAAAATCGCCAAAAAAATGTGGTTGTGCAATTTTCGACCCTTTTTCGACGACTTTTGAAAATTATGCAAAGAGAACTTAACTTCCCTCTCAATTTCAATATTCACAACGTCTTATTCGAACACTTCCGAAAATTATCTAAAGAATTTTTTGTTTATACATTTTGATTTCCAGAAATTATTCTCGTCTTCATTTCCTGGAAAATTTTCACCATTGTTCCACAATTTACAATATGAAATATAACAGTTTCTTAGAATTTCAATATTCACAACAAATAGCATCTTTACAATTGACATGGCGGAGCTTAAATTTTGCCTTTTTTCTGGATATGCGTAATAATCTTTTCACGACAATATATTTAAATGGCGGGTGGGCGGGATTTGTATTGTGCCTTTTTTTTTTCTTAATACCTATAAGTCCGTACTTTTTTTTTTCGCAAGAAACTGAAAACATGTTTAAAAGGGTAAATTTTTAGAGAACTGTATATAGAATGAAATTTACCATTTTAAATTTGTTTTCAGTTTCTTGTTATGGAGTAAAAACAATATATATTAAGAAGAAAAAAAATTCAAAATATAAGCCCCCCCACCCACCCTATCTCAGTTGTGACACTTTTTCTTTGTTCGTGGTTAGCCAATGGGGGCGGAGCGTAATTACAAAATCCATATTTCCTGTTTTAAACATAATTTAAGTTTTTTGTTGCGAAAAGAAGACTACGAATATTATTAAGAAAAAAAGGCAAAATATAAGCCCCGCCCACCCACCCTATCTCAATCGTGATGACTTTCTTTATTCATCGTGAGCCAAGAGGGCGGAGCTTAAAATCCTTATTTCTTTACAAGAAATTATCATGTAAAACATGTTTTTAATTATCGTATTATTCAAAGAATACTATGAATATTAAGTAAAAAGTTAGTCCAAAGTTATTTTGACAGAACTTCCCTCGTCCCTAAAACACAATAAAACAGATCCAGCTTTTCGAAAAATTATAAAATTTGATTATTCGAATTTACTTTTTTTATGAAAACCCTTATAAGTTAAAATAAAGATATGTAGGTCAACGTTAAAGTAAACGTAAAGAAGCCTGCTGGGCGTACATTCCAAATGAGGTTTCCCTTAACAAAATTTTGTGATGACATGTCATCAATTTTTGGGAGCAGGTAAACGAATAAATTTTGCTTAACGATTTATCTTATCATGATTACGATAACCTTAGAATATTTACAAGATTTCAGAGCAATTGGTTTTGCAGTTTCAAAGATATATTGCAAAATATTATTATTCAGTTTTGAATTTTTTCCAAAAATTCTGCATGTCTAGGGCAAAAATCCAACACGGAGTATCTTATTCTATGAAATAAAAAAAAACATTTATTATAAATTTTTGAAATGACGTCATCCCATTGATGGTGGGGATGATTATCCAAACTTTAGTTAGCGTTTAACCATCTACATGATATTCCTAATATACATACAAAACAATCGGTCCAGTAGGTTCGGAGATTACTTGTCTTATAAAAACGGATACAGACAGACAGATAGACAGACAGACGGAAACGAGAGACTACTTTTTCTTTTGTGCAAATAATGTTAGTGTCCGAAATACTACAGGGTTATATGGCTCCACTAAACTTAATAATGGGACGTTATAATTCCTTTTGTGCGTTTGGTTACCGGCTTAACCCTAGCGTCAGAAATCAAGGATTTATCTCAATATCTTGCCACCTCAATATCTACTACTGGGTAATCCGCTTAAGCATTTTTAACTGCTTCATTGTCGTCTTCACAATACCCTAATTTTGCAACAGCCATATAACCTTGTAGTATTTCGGAGACTATACTTATTTATACCGAGATTTTAAGAATGCGCTCCTATTACGACAAAAATCCTACTTCAGTAACTAGTATTAATTCGCTTATTTAAAAGCTTATTTTATAATTTAAAATGCAACGTTCTATATCATTTTATTGATCCCTTGTTCATATAAGACGATCCTTCAAGAAAAACTTTCCAACATGGATGAATATCTAACGACACCAAATTATACATTTAAAGCATAAAAAAACAGCTCGTAGGCAACAAACGTCTGGAAGTATTTAATGGCGATAAAACTTTTCAGGCGACAGTGTAAAGAACAGATTTTAAGTTATGAAAAGTCAATTATGGATTCTATCTTGGATCGGACATTTGTATCAGTGAATAATTCTGGCTGCAAGTAAACTAAAATAAAACGACTCATCATATACTAAAAGTACTGATTAAATACATAAGCAATAAAACAAATTTAAGATTTTTTGAATTTACGTACTTAAATAATAAGTTATGACAAAATTTTACAATGAATTAGGTCCGTGGATATTTATTGATTATTAAAATTGTGTCAGACAAATATAAATAAACAATCAAAAGTCCGTGAAAACAATTTGTACGGTTTCTGCGCGATAAATTTAATATTCACCAGAGTAGAAGTCACTAAACACTTCCTAAATCGTTTCGGATCAATACAGTATCGCATCGTCGGCATAAATTTGATTTATGTTTCTATTACAATCTCATAAAATTATTTGATATTTATCCAGAGATACACGACATGTTTGTCATAAATAATCCCGTCCGTGATCTTCCATCTATCATGAAACCAATTATTATACTTAGTGGCTGTGCACCCTCAGCACGCGTATCAGAGAAAGCAAATTATTGTATGTTCGCTTCAGTGTGGACTTTATATCTCTTAAAATTGTTTGAATTATTTGAATTTTTTAAAATTAGCCATATTTATTCTTTTGTACACACTAGACTTTAGATAATACAATCTTTTCAAATTTTTTGACACATTTTTGACGTTGTAAATACGAATTCCATATAAATACAACATGGTTATTATTATAATCATTATTCTATTATGTCTGAAAACCGAGACACAACTAAACAAAAATATCTGAATTAATACGAAAAGCTGTGAATACAAAGGGAATTTATTACACTAGGTTGCACAAAAATGTGTTTAACTCGAGCTTGGCAGTTTTAACAACAAGAGGAGATGGTGCTGACATATTTAAAATACGCAACAGTTAAACCTTTGGCACTGCGAATTCTGTATTTGGCATTTATATTAACAGACCACAGAAAAACACAACATTTATATAAAAAAAGAACAGTCCAAGTTGTGCTTTATTTCAGTGTACCTACTAAATGTAATTTTTTTCTTACATTTAGAAGCCGAATGAAATATGAATATGAAATTAAGTTGATGAATATTAGAATGGTAGTGGCTTGTACATCCAGTACCAACTTGAGGACTTTTCTCTTGACTTTAGTTTACGAACTAATTACATTTCAATATAAGA